GGTTACATATTTCATATAGGCTATATAACCTTTAACATTATGTAATTAATTACATGTCACCAAACACCAAATAAATACACAGTCAACAGACATATGGGGATTGCTTGCTTTCAAGTCCAGTCACATTGTCTTTACTAAACTGTCATTTTGTCAAATTATACCTGTTTACAATACACTAATACTTTGATTATCAAGTGAGTTGAAGTAGCTTGTCAATTTATTTATTTATAAATTACTTATTTATAAAATGTTAATATTATATATGACTGGACCAATGCCTTTCATAAGCCACTGCATAGTAAGTAAACACATTTATTGCAAACTATTTTAAGTTAGTATAACATGTGAACACATTCATGTATATGACTATTGTAGCTGTGCAGTAGTTTGCTGACTGTATTACAACCATAAGGCACAAAGAACGGCTTTCAATTCTAAAAACCAGAGTACATATTTGTGCATTCATGTCATGTTAGCCTCATGGATCTTCTCAGTAAACAGCTTGTGGCATGACTCAGCATATAGATTACTGCCAGACGCCTGCTTGTATAATCTTGCACAGAATGAAGTGTAGACGCTTATTTTGTTTTACACTGAACCATGTGTTTTTTATGTGTCGAGCTAATTTTTTATAAACTAGAGGATCTAGCAGTGTTGTTGGGAGTTATTTAGCCAATACAAGCTTCCGCTATCATCCATTCTTGGTCTCTCCTGCTCCTTGTTTCTCCCTCTCAGAGGTGATTTTGTGCAGCTGCCCTCAACAGTATGCCTCAGGCTGTTGTGCCCAACCTTTACCTCAATTCGGCCTGTTCTTCTTCTCTCTCTCTTGTTTTCTTTCTCCACTGCCTCCTCAGCCGGTGTCTCTGCCCTGATTACGATGTTCTGTGGAAAAGTTGCCTCACGGGAAGTTGTCTTGTCTCATTTTCTTCCTCCTCCTCGTCCTCTTCTCCATGGTAATCCTCAGCTACAGTCAGGACTGAGTGTCTTCATTGGCTGGCTGCAGATAGGCCTCTTCGGGCCTGTCTTTCCCTCAGACTTTTGAATGAGCCTCAGGCATGGAAATAGTATATTTTACAAGTTTAACTCAGCTCATTGGAAAAAACGCTGATCTGACATTCACACACACACCAGCGTTAAAAGTCTAATCTTATAACAAATAGACAACTAGTTTACTGTTGAAATGTTTGATTTCAAAATTAAATTCAAGTTGCAACTGAGTCAATAATACGGTTCGTTTTTTTCGGCGTAGTAAAATAGCACAGACAACCATTGACTGCATCTGCAAGGCTTTGATAGGATTGTTGATGAATACTAATGACTCAGTGATTATTAGCTAGGCTTTATATTTAAAGGGATAAAAACTCCTTTGAAATAATCATGGCTCTGACCAGTCTGGGGTCAAATAGAGGAGGAGGAGATTAAAATCCAAAACCACCATGAGCTGTCAATATTTTTACAACCCGGAGGAGACTTTCTATGATCTTGGAAATTAGTCATCATGGCTATATTGTAGTTAGAATCTGTTGCCATACTTTTCTCATGGTTTTAGATGGAAAACTTGCTTCTTGCTTCAACTCTGGATCGCATAATAAACATAATTGCGTGTTATCCCAATAATGTGCAGTCATGACACAACAGGGGAGATATAACCTCATGGTGGGAGACAAGTGTGATTTATTTAAACACATTATGTAAGCAACATAATGGACACATTCCGAACTTAATTGCACATTAAGCGACACCAGGGGCATTGTCCATGTTATTAGAATGTAAATTTGCCATCTGATGTTAAAAGGAGTAAAAGGAGGACATTAAATATAATGTGTTAGAGTAATGATGTCAAATTAGCATTGGCATGATGAAGAGAATAAAGCAGCGCATTAATAAAGGAACAGATAAACGATTTCTAAGACATTAAACTGCCAGCCTTGCTGTTGCTGCTTGAATCCTATACAGTGTTCAAAAGTATGCAACTGATAGGTGACATGATGCTTAAATAACAAAAAGGTGAATAAAAAAACATCTAACCGACTTACTAATTAAAAAAGTGATAATAAATACTAGCTAATTCATCTTTCACTACACCCTACCCCGTCATAGCTTAGCAACCGTAACTAGGCACAGTAGGTCTATCAAGCTTTGGATGGGGCTGTTAGAGTACTCTGTAAATAAAGAGTTTGGATAATGGTTTCTCTTTGTTTTACCTTCCACAAAACCAAATATACAAGAGCTAAATTGTAAGGAATGGATTACATTGTGTTTTTCTGGGGTAGCTGCAATTGCTGACCGATGTCCAGCTAACTGGCTTACTACTTTTTAAAGTTATAACCCAGTGTTACTTCCAAGGCCCAGGGCATTTCTACCAGCCAACATTATTATGTGGGATGACTGAAAAGCCCTGTTCACAATGAGCACATCCACTGTGTAGTAGTTCCCCACTGTGAGGGAGCTGGTCCTGGATCCTCCTCTTAATATTAGTGGCTCTGCCCTCTGGGAACCCAAGCTAAAGTCTTTATCCAAGATGTTTAGTCCTCATCCTAAAAGCATAAAAACATTTGAAAATACAAACCATGAATAAAATATTTTTTGTCTTGCTTGTTTCCTCATATAAAAACTAGGACTACAAAGGTTGCCATCCGTCTCATACAATGCAGGACACGATTTGTCCTGTATTTCGCTTTGAATGACACTAGAAATATTAAAACCAAAAGTATTAAATCACAATTTGTGGAAGAGAACGACATCTAGAACGACAGCTGTCACTCAACGTCATCGTTGCCCTGGTTACGGAGACTCAGATGCAAGTTTTTTTTAAATGTTGGCAAATTCCTCCCATAAAAAGAAAAAGGCTGTCTGAATACAGATCTGAATTGCAGATGGATCACCAGTGGGAGTACAAAAATGTTCTGTCACCCATGGTGGATAGTCCGAGCTGAGGGAGCATTCAGCAGGGGACACAAACTGGTGCATAAAAATTCTTCAGAATGGAAGAAATTAAGTCTCATGGGAAGCTTTACAGGAGCAGCAACAGTATGATGGGACGAACTGTCAAATGTCAGAATCATAATCTGCTTTTCCAACAATAGATCTATAAATTATCTGCAGCCTATAGGGTATACAGTGAACAAATGGATGGTTAAATTGTCAGGCCTTGTATTCTTGGACTGTATTCTGGATACTCACATTTTGCAACCAGAACAGGCTCAGGCAGATATATTAGCTCACTTCTCACTATTTAAGTGGAGTAATTTTTCATTTTAAGGTAGTTTCCCCTGTCATGAAATAAGTACACCCTTGAATGTCATTTTATGTGGATAGTTATTGGTCCCATGGTCTAACTTCTATTTTCAGGGCTTTTGAATCCTGATGGGAATACTTGTAAGCAAAATAACTGCAGCTCAAGAAACACAGGCCATGATATGAAAGAATCATCAGGCTTGTGGAACCATTTCAAACAGTCGCCTTGTTTCTCTTTGGCGCAAGGCTGTGTGGGTAAAACATCCGTCAAGGTGACACGCTGCAATTAAACAGCACCGGTCTGTCGGCGACGAGCTGTCATCACCGAGCTATGTCACAGGTGTACAGGGCAGCTGTAAGTATAATTGCTACAGGCCTGCGGGATGGAGCTGAACCCCATCTCCTGGCAGCGATGGCAAGCTTCACTGGAAGATCAGCTATAAAGGAGACTTGTAACACACTGACAAATGGTTATACAGCAGTTGCCAAATTAACAATGACCTCCCCCTTTGCTGTCTGGTGAGGGTGATAATGTGCAAAGTCCTGTCGGGAAGTGTGCTTAATGTTCAAGATAATCTGTCTATTATGTGAGTCCAACATTAGGAAGGGAGTGAGTGAGTATCAATTAAATTTTCTTTTCCGTAGCAAATGGGAAGCATAATTTTTTTGACAGTGATTCAAGCGGGCAGACCTAATATAGATTTGGAATATACGTGAATATAACTGGAAATAGTTCAAATACTGTTACTCTGCAGCAGAAGCCCCCTCTCTAAATTACACTTGTGGAACTAGATGTGCTTACTAATTGAGTCTCAGTGCTCCACGGAAACTAATAGACAGAGGAGAGAGGGGGAAAGAAGAAAGAGAAAGGAGGGGGGTTCTGTTCATAAACAGTGTTTACTTAAAGCACCCCATCGCCTTATTAGTATTAATAGCAGTGACTTCAGAAAGCTCATATTCTGCCATTGGACAGTTTTGTATTATTTATGATTGAAATGAAAGCCTGGGAATGCAGCAGCAATGGAGGAGCGCTGCATAGCAAACGATGTTGCCTATGCCAGTTTACATAACCAACACTTGGGTAAACAGCAGATTAAGCGCAGCACGGGGCGAGAGAAAAACGAGAGCAAAATGTTATATCCACACATTAGCCTATTGGAGGAGAGCTTTTGGAGGAGGCCAGGAGAACACTGCGGACCTTTTGATGCAGCTGGTCTTCATCTGCAAGTCCTTTTGAGCATGAAAGTGTGGTGCGGTGCAGAATTTCGCCCCCGGTGCAACTTCAGTAATGTTGATCTTAAGAAGTCGGGTCAAAATAAGCACGCCGTAGCTTGAGAGCATCCTCATCTTAATTAAAGACACCATCTGTTAAATTTTATTATGAAAGCTGTCGGAGTGAACGTTGGAGCAACCGATTGGGGCTTTCATTTTCTGCTCTACTTACGGGCAGCAGGGTGGCCCGTCGAGCAAGGGGATCTGGGTTTAGGACTCCAGAGTTTCCCTGCTGAGGTGTCTTTGAGCAAGACACAGAATCCCTGATATAGCTGATTTTCTAGTTACCCCACTTAAAGGGTGACAGTCAATTTGAGAATAACTTCCTCTGTAAGATTAGTTTACTCTTCTTAGCAAGCATGTCAAAGATCCACAACTTTCCTCTTGCAAAAGTTTTTGCATCTACTCCAACTACTAGTGTTACATGTTGTTTTTTCAGCTGTAAGACACACAACAGATACACAAAATCACCTCCAAACCACTGCAACATATACTGAATCAATCTTTATTTATATTAAATTAAAAATATACTTTTGACAGATTCATGTAACAAACATGAGGAACGGTATTTCTATGATATAAAGCTTTGGGTGTGGTTTCAAATAACTTGGACAATGAGGGAAGTATGGAAAGCTAACGTAGGCGAGGAGGGGATACTGAAAACGCCTTTTCTCTACTATGTCTCCTCTAAAAGCATGCAAAACAAATCTGAAATGAGCTGAAAAACGGGTTGTACCGTGAAGGCTGTGCTCTGCCTTTCAGGGTGGAGGAGGTCAGACTTGGCTCAGTAATTTTTCCAGTAGAAAGTAACGGAGAATGTTATCTGGGGTGGCTGGCAGCACTGGTTTCAGTTTTATGGGAATTAGAAAGAGGAAGAGATAAAGAGGGAAAATAAGGTATTACTCGCTTGTTCTGGGGTGTTCTCAATACTGAGTGAATGAAACATGGCAGGCATGGGGAAGCCAAACAGAGATACAAGGTGGATTGAACAGCCCGCCCCTTCCCACCGCTATACCCACCATCACCACTTTTACATTAACTGAAACATTACATGAGGACAGCCACAAAGCTCTGGAAAAAGGGCCACCAAACAAGAGTTTTCACATGAGAAAGGCTCAACAAGCACTTTGAAAATCAAACTCCCATTAGTCAAAAGGTACACTTACATAAAGCAAATATGTACGGCTCTTTTTTGTACAAGTTGTTATAAGCAGGAGAAAACAGCAGTAGGAGACAAGACCATATAAATTCAAAGCGTCGCCTTCTTATTTACAAATTCACCACATCGGCCATTTCAGTGCTTTATAAAAATACTATTCACATTTGTTGTTGAAGTGTGTTAGATAAGTTTTGGAGGAAACCCCAAAGATTCTGTACATTTATACTGAACTGATAATTTGAACACAGAGAATGAATGACCTCCACTCATAGGCGATGATTTGTGCAATTAAGAACAACAAAAAATTTGCAGCTACAATGACAAACATGTTAAATATTGTACAGTAATCGACACAAAAATAGTGGAAAAAAAACATATAGATTCAAGTCTTTTTCCTTGAGGAAAAACATCCTTGATAATATGGAAAAAATAAAACTCAATATTAAAAGACTATATAGGGTACTATACACGAAAAATACCATGAAAGATTTCAGAAATAAGGTCTGCCAGTTTGTGCTACTGAATTCAGTAAAAAAATCAGGTTATTTCCTCCACGCTGTCTCACTCCCTGGACAGACATTTGAATATAATATTGTCATCAATGAAGAGATACAAAGGTGGAGGGCAGTAAAACACTCACTTTTGGTACCATGCAAGGTGATATTGTACTATACATTAGACTCTATCGCAGCCTATAAAGTGGGTGTCTGCTGAGAATGAAATATTTAAGGATTCACTTCAGTACAACATGGCTACATGCCTCTGCACCTTGGCTTGGAGAGGAAACAGTAAAGAGTAAAAAATAAGAAAAAGTGATCAGTCATGTTGCCATGGTGCGTTCTGAGCCACAAGAGTGTTTAGGGTTGAGACAAGTAGCAGCATGACACACAGGTCAATGCCAAGGCAAAATATGTTTGAAACAAGAATATTAATAGAGAGGGAGAAAATGGTCGCTTCTTTAGAAGGAAAACAAATTGTGGTACTTTAGAAAGATAACCAAGGTCTTTAGATGACAAAAACAATACTTGACAAATGTGTGTCTTGACGCTCAGGAATGTTTTTCTACCTTTTGTGGCAATAAACTCTTGAGAAGATTCTATTAAAAGTGGAGGGTTGCTGAGTGTCTCTGGGATACTCCGAAGTGCTCTCGAGAACATGCGAGGCCAGTCGTCTCATCAGTGTTTCAGTCTAATCTATTCTTGATTCAAACACATATTTTGCCTGGGTCTGCAGTATAATTTAGGCCAAACAAGAGAGAAATCAATGCATGTGTATTTCTTTTCACCACCATTGCGCATTTCTTTTTTTTTTCTTCTTCTTCTTGAAACCCAGATTTGGCAGACTCTTCCATCGCTCTCTATAAACAAGCTCAAATGCGCTATAAATATTTCACATTGATATTAAATGCTGTCTCTATTTCATTGAATTAGAGCTCCAAAAGGGACTACAAAATACTCCTTCATCAAATAGTCATGATATCATCAAAGCAGCATTATACATACTGTTTGAAGCAAACATAAAACTTGGAAACAAGGACATTCTTGAAGCTGGACAGCACCTCCTAAAATGTGTTTTCTTCGTGAACTCCTGGCCGCAGTACCTTCCTTTACTAAAGCTTTTTCTTTCTGAAGTGGTAAACGACCAGATAAACAAGTTGAATATTTCAGTAACGAAGGGTGGAAATCCTTTCTTTCTACCCACGGGTTTGATCAAAGTGCTCCATGGGGAGGACAAACATATACAAGCTCACTCAGACGAACACTTTCACACAAACACACACACAGACATTAAAATACACCAAATAAACACCCTACACAAGAAAACAGCCGCAGAATGATCAAAAGCTGTTAAAAACAATGACAAAGCAATAATGTTCATGTTCCACAGATAATGGCTGGGAAAACTTGCCAAAGGTTCAGGAACTACAAGATTTCGTTCATATTGATTGGACTAAGATGTGATTCTAGTGAGATATTGCAAGAGGGCCTCTGAGGCGAACCATCATTACAAAATGTTCGCCTTGATCTTCTAAGTTTGGCAAGCTTTGTGGTGTTTTCCCACCCAAAGGTGTTCCATATGGCTTGGTGAAAGAAATAATGGCTGTAACACCAGCGCTTTTAGCAGCATTGACTGGCAGTATGCCTGCAGAGGCATCAGTAGTGAGGGTCAGAGCGATTCTCTAGAGTAAAGGGGCAATCAGTGCTCTATTGGTGTTCTCAGGAGTAAAACTAGGTCGGGATACTTCAGATAAAATTAAGAAGTTAGAGACCAGAGTTTGTATCTTCAATAGGGTTATGTTTATGCAACAGAAAGGTTAGTAAAAGAAGTTGGTTATGGTTAAATATTAATAGGGCTGTGTACCTTCATTTAAAAATAATAAAGTTTTAAATCACTGTACATAGTTGCTATGAGTAGATATTGGATATTTTGCTGGAAAAAATATGTTGTTGGTGAGCATTTTACTCATTTCTTCATTATGTTGATAAAAAACTACTTGGAAGCTATTAGTTGTATATGAATGTAATTTATAGAAGACAAGGTCAATAGGTTAGTAGTTTATAGAGCTATGACTGCGGGTAGCACTACTGCTACTAACTTTAGATTACAAGTCACCCTAATGAGAACACATATGCAGTCTTGATCTTTGTTGAATAATGTAATGGTTTAAAATGGTTTGGGTCTTCTTTGCTACCTCGGAACCAAGCCAAATAAATCATTATGGTCAGGCTTTGCAACAGGCTGTTGATTTACAATGTGCCACTGATTAATCAACAACAGATTACATAAAGATTGGCTGCAGGAACACAGTGCCCATGTCCTGTTGGGCCACTCAATAAGCTTTGTATTCAAACTGGTGACATTAAAAATATAGTGATTTCTACTTGACTACAGTTGCATGGTGGAAGCCTTGTTTGAGGTCACACCAGTACAGTGCAGTATTGGTTAGCAGTGGTACTGAAGGTTGACAGCATGTCATCACCGACTTCTTTTTACCACAGATATTCCTGTGAGGCCAAACTGGCTCGCTTGTATGTGAACACGAACATTCACACTGACATAAACACAGACACAGACACAGACACACACACACACACACACACACAGAGTAGTCTGTTTTTACTGTGCTTTGCTGGTGCTGTCTTGTTCATTCCTTGAGGTCTTCATTAGTCAGCTTGCATGAACTTTCCCTCCCCTCTCTGTTTTTCCTTCTTTTGCTCTCTCCCTCATTCTCTGTCTCTATGATCACCATTTTGAGTTCAGCTGCTTTATGATTGGTCTCATCACACTATTCCACATATACAGCAATTTCCCCAAATGTCCTCCCACTCTTATGGCAAGACGCTCTTAACTCATTTAAGTTAGCTTCATGATATGAAAGGGAAAACCAGTGTATAAAAATCCATCTTCTCAGCACTGCAACCAGTGTTTATAAAAATGTTTAAAGTGTATTTTTTCCCTTTAACTTGGAAAAAGCTGGTTTTGATCAGCTTTTCCAAGTAGACAGCAGTAAAGCAAAATCAACAAAACAGCATCTGGCCTGTGTGTTTTCAGGCAAGTTCAACAGTTCATGGTTGAACTACAAATGTGAAAGGAGGGATCACTGTAGTTTTTGCCATCACAGTATCACAGTTACAGTAGAAAGATAAGATGAGTTTGACATTTTTGATGAAAAATTTGAAAATGTCCAGTATAATCCCATAGGCAAAACGATTTGAATATGATTGATTAGCCTTCAGTGCTCCGTCTTTTATGTTAGTGGAAGCCACTCTCCTGACTAAACCTTAAACATTCCTCCATATTTTTCTGTTTCGTTTCATTCTACAAGGTCATTCACATAACAAGACATCTTGACATCAAACGACATTTGCGCCTTCTGTTTGCCTATTTCAGAAACCCTCAGAAGGGTTTTGTTCCTTGGATCCGCAGACCTTTTTTACCGGAAAACAAAATATACTAAAACATCTCGTTCCTCTCATGAATCTGACACCGCAGTGGCTGGCAGTGAGTTCAGGTCCCCTAAGTCAAATCCATCTTGTCTGACGTCGTTCTGGTCTACCTCACTGGGACAACATGGTACTTCCACTGCTGTGCAACAATCATGTGTCCGTTGTTGGCCGAAAACTACCATAACGTTCACATTCTCAGTGACATGGAGCGCAGTCTCTATCTACAGAACAGAAATGGACTGGATTGGATTGAAGGTGCGTGAGTCTGAGTTGGGTCTGCTTGGTTCTGTTCGGTCCACCTCCTTCTGATGTTGCTACAGTCTACAGCAGATGGCACATTATTTGGAAAGAGTTAGGGGGCGGTTCTGGTTGTGGCTGCACCCCTCTGTGTGGAACAGTGGAACCGGAGAGGATGTCTGGGTTGCTGGAGGCTAGAGTCTGATTGAGGAACGTTTGTCAAGTGGAACAATCTAGACCACAGTGTTCCGCTGCCGGTAGGGTGGAGGTGGCAAGACGGTGCCAGATTTCAGGGAAAACTCAGACATGTATTCAGGGTTTTCAGCTACAACCGGCCGTATGTGTCCGTTCTGCTTATAGAAGAGCTTGGCGTTGGTGGAACCTCCCTGGGCGCCGTCAGGGGCTGCCTGGTTAGATGATTTTGGAGGCAAGCTGTGCTGCCAGTATTCTGGATTGTCAAAGGTCACCTTCAGCTTCTTCCCACTGACTTTCCCTGATGTCAGCCCACCATGCTTCAGCAAGCTGGCGGGGTGCGTGGTGGCGTGGCTCTGGTAGGCTGGCAGGCTGCCGTGCCCAATGGTGGCCGAAGTGGACAGGGCACCTGACTGACACACCTGGGCTTGGGCAGTAGTTCCTGTTTGGCTCTGGCTGGCGGAGTTGCCACCTGGATTGCCAGGTTGTCCTGCAGGTTTGATGGTGTGGTGGGTGTGGAGGATGTGGGTTGGTGGGCCATGGTGGCAAGGCATGCCAGATGGAGAAGGCTGGGCCAAGGGGAGGGGGTAGTGGGGCAGGCTGGTCTGGATGGTAAGCGGGAGGTGGGAGCCTGAAGTTGTGGCTGAGATCGAAGAAGGAGGATGGGTGGGTAGGGGTAGACCATTTCTCCTCAGGGCTTCCAGGCCCAGCTCAGCAGGGCTGTGGAAGGTGTTGAGGTAGAGCGGCTCGTTGATGTATTCATCCTCTCCTTTGGGCTGGCTGTTGGGTGTGCTGTGGTAGCCTGGGTTATCCAAGGCGTGGATCTCACCATTTTTACGTCGTGAGACAAACGGGTTTTCCTCAATGGGATTTAGGTATTCTGTAACACAGATCAGAAAAGGGAGGGAGGGTAGGAAAGAGGAGAACAAGAGAAAAAGCAGTTTATGAGAGAATGACAAACAAAAGATACACGGAAATTAAATAAAGAGAAAAGAAAACTAGAGAAATGGAAACTCAAATAGAGTAAGAGAAAGATATTGCTCGCTAACGAGGAGAGAAGATGGAGATGGAGATGATAATGGCGATAATGGCAGCCACTCAGGACCAGACGGGCAAGTTGCCAGCAGTTCTTTGGCACTGGAAACTCCATCTGCCGGGGGTGAAAATGCCAGCAAATGACCCCTCTTCACTGCTTCCAAGCACTATAATAGTGGGGTGTGAAACCTATTGATTTTGCCCTCTCTTTTGCTCCTTGACATTGCTTCAGATACATTTTGCTGCAGGCTTTGTTATATTTTGAGCTGCTCAAAAATCAAAGATGGTAGTGCAAGAGTAGGGCTGATGGACTGAATTATGATCAAAGGCAAAACATGACTGTAGTAGCTGACATACACCGTTGATGGAAACATTGTAGGAATTTTAATCAATGGAATGAAATGAAATGAACAGGCAAAATGGCAGGCAGAATATACTAGAAAAGATTGCATTTACTCTGTGAATCAGCAAAGAGAGCAGCACTAGGCTGGAATTTGTAGTAAATACAAGATGTTTTACATTTAAATTATGTTTTTGGAACAGCATGTAAGATTGTGGTGTAGTCACTTCCATGGTGTTGCTTGTATTTAATAGATTGGTGAGGAATTACTATAATGAGGTTAGGTTATTTTAAAGTTTGGCATTACATGCACCATAGTTTGGAATACAACTCCTAAAATGCAGTCATGCATCATCACCAAAATTCCGTACAATTCTCTGGACTTATTTTTAGCCTCTGTGAGGCAAGTCCCAACAAATCTTTGTTTGTGTCTACGGAAAATGAACCTGACTCCTGATTCCAGAGGCTACATTTATTTCACTTTACTGTGTTTTGGGTTTCACTTGGAGTACCTGAGGAGGTCTTGTCCTTCATGGGTGTCATGTATCCATCCTCATCAGTGTCCCCTCTGGACGCCCTCTCCCCCAGGAAGATGGTGGGGTCAGCGCTGTACCTCTGGCCAACACTGTCCTCTGCCCCAGCCTGGCTCAAGCTTTTCTTATGCAGGCTCCCATTACAGCGTTGGTCCTCCAGGGCCGGAACTGGTCCACCGCCTGTGGCTTCCTGGTTCATACAGGCTTGGGAACTTGCCACAGAGCCCTCTGCAGGGTTTGGACCACCATCTCGATAGCCAAACTGGTTCTGGGGCAAAGAGAGGGTTGTGGATAGAGACAGATAAAAATGCTTTCTGAAATTACTGTGCAAACTGTAGGTTTGATTTTCTTTGATTTACACCATTTAGGAAACTTTGGTGCATGTTTTATATGACACTGTATTGCAGCTATTTGATGATAGAAGAGCTAGGACAACATTGTTTAACAAACCAGTAGTAGTAAAGATGAATTTAGCTCAATTATACCACAACAAACACACATGTAAATGCAAAAAATAATAATGTTTGAGTTCAAGCCAGTTATATGCCACATTGCGGCAAAAAAAGCCAGACTTTTAACCCATTCAGCTGCCTGTTGAAGGTAGAATTCTCCAACAAAGTTCTGCCGATGTATCAGCCTTGAAGGACAGCGAGGGGCAGTCAGGCAAAGCTACGATTCAAACACATGAACCTCAAAAAAGAACAAAAAACCCCACAAGAAAATACAAAACATGACATGTGAAGCAAAGGGCTTCTTGTGGTGCTGTGTTGGCTTGCCGTGGGCTATTTAACCCAGACCCACTCCTCTGCGCTCCTGCCAACTGCTAGCGCTACAGCAGCAATTACAGGAAACAGAGTTTCAAAACACAACAGAAAGAAAGAGGAGACGTCCACCTACTCCCACCACCTTTCCTCAATTGCAATCAACCTCCCCTTCTTCAAAACTTCTCTGTTTGTCCCTTCTTCAAAATCATTATCCTCTCTTCGTTTCAAGTATGAGTGCGAGAACAAATCAGCGCAGATTAGATAACCGTCTGTATTGGACTGCGTCTGCCATGATTAACTAACTTCCCGTGGCAAAGTCAGCCAGCCGATGGATTTTACCAAAGAATTGCTTTCCCTGTCTGGGCATGTAGGGGCTTTTGACTGCATAATCAAAGGAGTTTCAATTCATGATAGGGGTGTTGACCTTGAACAGACAGGACCCTGGACGGATTACTGAGTGTGTGTTTTTGGAGTACGTGTGTGTTTGTCGGCGAGCAAAGAGCCGCCGGCAAACGGGTAGGTCACGGGGGTAAAGGTGCATAAGATGCAGAGTCCAGGGCCAGCGGCACGTGGTGAATGCTGCAGAGCAAACAGCCGAGCCTGCAGTCATTGTCTATTAGTAAACGGCTCCGGCATTTTAAGAGAGCGTCTGTTATTTGCTTATGGAGCTCTGAGTAATGAAACCTGGGGCCTGGGGAGCGAGTGCATAAAGAGTCCAGGTTTAAGCCACACACGCTGGGATGGAAATGATGGAGGTGAGCCATTAGCAGAGGAAAATCATCAGTGTATTGGAAGTTCTTAACCACCTTGAGCACTTATAGAGGACAGTGAGTTGGGGGTTTTTTGACCATAGAAGATAAAGAATTAAGTTTTGAGGTTAAAGTCAAATCAGTTGACTTGGAAGGGTTTTTCTAAGGAGATATCATGTGTGATCATATAAAAATATTGAATTCTAAGTGAAGGTTTATGCTTTAACATTTAGAAATGTCATTTGAAAGCGTATCTCAAGACTACAGCTTACAAAAATAGTAGTTATTCTTATGTTCTTGTGTGCCTAACCATGGTCCTTACTCTGTTGGAGTCCACCCGGGGCCTGGTTGTGTATGACAGAGGAGCTGCGTTAAAACCTCGAGGCACCAGATACTCCTCAGCATCCATCAAGTCATCCAGGTCCTCTTCGTCCAGAAGGCTCTGGAAGAACTTGCTATCATTGGGGCTCGGAAGCTTCATGCGGTCGTCTCCCTAAACAGTACATATGTGACATTGTTAAAGTTTCATTTAATCTGATTTATTTTATTTAACGCATGCTATCATTGCCATTTAGTACATTCCTGTGCCATAAAAAGTCATCAACAGCAAGTGGATGGTTGCAAAGAAAAGCTTCATTATCGAATGCTTTGATGGGGAGCTTCTTTAGGCGAACACACCTGGATGACCAGGTACCGCTGGGGGTCACGGGCCATTCTGCAGAACTCAGCAGCCAGCTCCTTGAACTTTGGCCTGCTGTCCGCGTCAATCATCCAGCCTGGGGAAGAGAAAGATGGAGCAAGAAGAAGAAGAGGTTAGAGAGATTAATAGATGACTTAAGGGTAAAATCAAAGATTTGTATATAGGAATGCATGTGTGTGATTTCCACAGCACTCAAAGAGAAAGTAGAAATTGTCTACACCTGTCTAATCCTGTAGTTTCTTAACCTTTAGCTCAATCTTTACCAAGTTTCTTTGCTGGTTTATTGTTATTTTCTTTAAAAAAAAATACTATTTTTGACCTTCTATTGCTTTTGCCGTTTTACTCAGGCCCATCACTGCCATCCTTCAGTGTCTACTTACAAAAAATACCTCTACAATATTTATCTGTAAAGAAAAATAGGAAGATGTTTGTTGAAGCATCATCCCCATGAAAGTTCTGTATAAAATGCACTTTTTAACCTTTTAACATTTATCCAGAGAACACTGAATGAACAAGCATGATGTTCACTTTTAAATCCCACACATTCTAAGGTCTAAGTGCCTTGCTCAAGGGCAACACAGGTAGTTATTAAGGTAGGGGATTTGATCTCAAGCCTCCTTTTCTCTTCCATAGGCCACGGCTGCAGTAAACACAGCAAACCCCTGCAGGTAAAGTGAGAAGCCAGGTGGTCTCAGCTCAGATTAGACAGTAAGAAAACTGGGCTGCCGAATTCAGTGTCTGCATCCCTATTACATATTCTGCAACAGTGAGGGCTAGTGGTGGGGTCTGGGTGCCTCTGGCAGTCCTGGAGGGGGGGGCGGGGGTCAGTGGTTCGGGAGCAAAATGTAATTGCTTCATTTCACTTTATTTCAAATTTAGCAGTTACCACAGTGCCAAAGACATAATTGTTCATCCTCACTACATTAATGCAGTTGAATATGTGTTTACTCTCCATAAAAGCTACTGACTGTTTTCAACCATAACCATCAACACCATAGTCTATCTAAAACCCTGACCCTTTCTGTTGTCTTTTTGCCTGTCTGTCTTCGTTCAGTTCATCTGATTTCAGTGCAGTGCAGGCACATTACATTAATGAGGTGCAATTACTCCAGCAATCAAACTCTATTTCATCTTTATTGGGGTGGCGCCAAGGCAGCGGGCTGCGCAGCGCGACGGCACACCAAATCACAAACAACAGCTCTCAGTCAACATGTAATTAGAATTAATGCAACCAATTGCTGGGCATCCTTCTGGCTTTTGATGGGGCAGCGTGACCCTCCTGCTGGTTTGACCTCTTTTGGCTATTTCTGATCACCGCTGTGAAGCTCAGCTGACGTCACTGGATTTTTGTGCATGTACGGTGTGTGAGCAAATATGTGTGGTGTGTCTTTTTCAGGGCTGTGGCAATGCACCAGCAAAATTAATACAATTTTAAACTTTTCTTGTTCAGTGTTTCAGTGGATAAAACATACAGTTACAAGGAAATGTAACATATGGTATGCATCAAATATTTGTCCTAAAGATTAATAATAAATAAGGAATATGTGGGAACCCACAAGCATTTAAACTGCTTGTTAAGGGAATCCCTTTGACCTCAGGATTTATAATATTATTGTCCAGACTTATTTACATAGCACATAAAATTTATTGTCCTTCTCCTCTGGGGAAAAGACAGAAATCAGTTGGCATTGTTATTAGGCTAAATGGCTGCAGGGCTTTCACGGTTTGCTTCTGTGCTGTCAAAAGCCATTGGCAGTAGTTTTTCATTTGGAGAAAAAACAATTAGATATTATGACATTTCCGGTGGATTAACATTTTGTCATGGGAACATGTTCTGATATCAAGCTCCAAGCTGAATCACATCATTCTCTTTCTACACATTTGGCATTTTAAGCACTCTGCTGTTGTCCTCATCCAGAGTGACTCACAATAAGTGCAACAGTAGAATAAGTTTAAATTCACAGAGCTACAAGCAGCCAATAATAAGAAGTATATTCATAGTGTGCATACAATATTCGTGCAACACAAAAGACTAGATAATTAAAAAAGAAAAAGAACCAAGAACTGCAATGGCAGGGGAAAAAAGTCAGTAGGGAGAAGCTGATGTGAGGTAGTTTTTATGAGATTTTCAGTCTCCACCAGAAGACAGAAAAGTCAGTCCACCATTTTTGGGTTCAGGCAGGTTAGAGCAGTGACCAGACTGGTGCGAGGAAAAGGATAGCCAAGCAGCCGATAGCTGGCAGATCTCATATCATGGATTGGCATATATGTCTGGACCCTTTCCTGGAAATATGGGAGGGTGGATCCCTCACCAGCACCAGGGTTCTGAATCCAGCCAGGGGAAGGAGTGCAAGATGGGACAGACATGGGAGAATTTGGGGAGGATGAAGAGAAGGCAGGTTTTTCTGGATGAGCTGTACGAGCTGGCGGGAGAGTTGGGGTAGGTCGGCTGGGAGGGAGGTGTGGTAGTCCAGATGGAAGATGACAAGAACAAGAATGTGGGCAGGCTCCCTGGTGAGGACGGGGCCTGCATGTTGCAGACCATAAACCAGCATCTCATCAGCTTCCTGACAACACCTCTTTTTCTCTGATTTGTTTTTTCATCTCTCTCTTCTAGCCTTGAATCAAAGCCCCCAAGCTCAAATAACACCTTACCAGATGAATATTAAAAATATGAACCCTTTTATTAAACTGCAACTCATCTGTGGCACCTCAAGCTGAGTTACAGCAGTGTATAAACAGGATTTTAAAATAAAATGATTATGTGCTCCACAACACTGAATGTGTCGGAGAGCTGCTCTGTGACACTGCCTTTAATGTTGCCACCTGTGGCTGAGGCAAAATGTGCAATATGTAGCAAGAGAGAAGCTTTTTTTATTTCACTGATGTCTGACTTGTATATATTAATGATTTAATGGTGCATACTTTGAATGTACAATTTGGTGATATACACCCTGAGAAGATATTTTGCTATTATGTTTATACTAAGGTAACCATCTCTGGAAGTAAATCACTGAGCAGGACAGAGTTATTGATATTTGATATTGTATTCAAAGGTTGTTTGTATCAATGTCATTGGAAGTATTTAGATTTGTCAGGTATGTAATTCACTGTATTAGCTAAAAGTGAACATTCACATCTGGTTATTTCATCTAAAAATAGTTTCTCAGTTCAAAGAATAGTTTTGAGAAGTACATTTATTTGCTTTCTTGCCGAGAGTCATATAAGAAGATACGGCTTTCATGTCAGTCCGTTAAAGATGAAGCTACAGCCATCAGCAGGTTAGCTTAGCTTAGCATAAAGCAGGGGAAGTATGGCAAAACAGCTTGCCCCACTCTGTCTGAAGTCATAAAAACTCTCTTTACAGCACATATAATGCTTATAACAAAAACAAACAAAGTGTAAAAATGACAGGTTGTGGTTTTACAGGGGGGTTGTGTGTTTGACTATTTCTTGGCCGGGGGCAGTTGTATTTATTGCACAAGCTGGTCGGTGGATTTTTGTTATCTTCTGACAGAGCCAGGCT